CTGCAGAAGGAATGTGCTGAACGAGCCAGCGCATTCCCCGTTGCCCAGAAGGTTTGGGGCAGGGCTGTTCCCCAGGGGCCCTGGGCTGTGAAGAAAGCTGCGGACATTTTGTTCCACCGCCACATCCCCCCGAGAAGACTTTATGCCTGAAGGGGTCCTGCACCCTTGTTTATGCCTGCAGAAGCTGGGATAAATCAGGGATGAATCTAGGCCATTCTAAAATGAAGTTAGACTTGGGTTACATAATAAGTAACTGTGCAGGATCCTCTAGCATTGAAAGTAATAAATTGATTCTGGATGTTTGCTGCAACGTGGAAAACCCCTCTTTAGGGGCATTCATAAGTTCCCACTGCCCCTTATTCATTACCCAGACATGATTGCCCTTTACTCCACACTACCAGGGTTTCTCATTCTGTCAAGGCTGCTACTCATCTCCTACACAAATTAGAACAAACCCTTCCATGGGGGACAATGAGCTCTTATTCTTTTTTAAAAAAAAGACAGATAAAAAAAACTGATCTGGGGGCTAGATCCTCAGCTACTGTGAATCAGTTCCCCTGATATCAACAGAGCTTTGTTGATTTATGCCAGCTGAGGATCTAGCCCTTTGTTGTTTAATATTAGTGGTGTTCTTGTAACCCCTCGTCCCTGCACTCCAGTGCGTGTCTGTGTACGGAGTGGCTGTGTGTGATTCTTGTAAGAGAGTATTGTTTTTCTGTTCTGCTTTGCTCAGCAGCCCTGTCTTGTTCCCTGAAAGAGCTCAGCACGCTGCTGGCCAAATGAGAGGAGTTCTCCTCAATACACATAAATGGCCAGATTGTCTCTAGCCCCACGTGTGAGTATGCAGGGATGGGGCAGGCACAAGAAGCCCTCCGCATCCCTTGTGTTCTGTCTCTCCTGCTCTGTGCAAGGGCTAAACTCGGTCCCAGTCCCTGTGGTTGCAGGGGAAATGTACAGGGGACTGCTCCTCCTTCACAGGGAGATGTAGGAGCCATAGTCCTAGGACTATTTCCCTGTGCCCATCCCCAGACTATAAGACTTTATACAGCTTTGGGATTTGTGAAAGTAGAATGAATTATATTGAAATTATAATTCATTAAAGGAATGCTACTTGAAGGGTTTGTTGAAATATAGTTGTCAGGAAGAGAAACATTAAGGCGTGTGAGACAATGGGTTCTCAAACTAATTAACTTAGAGCTGCTACTGAGCTAGGAGATTGGTAAACGTTAGTATGCAAATAAGATATGTATGTATATTTGTCAGTTTTTGCTTCCTTTTGTCTCTTACGTTAAACTGGCTTTGGCTTAGCTGTATAAATAAGTTATCTTTAGCCTCAGAGAGGGGCTCACATCTGGGTGCATTGGCAAAGCGGTTTGCTAATAAACAGAGTGGTCTGACAAATTATGTGAGTCCTGAATCTGACTTTGACAGATATTTGTAACCATTTTGGAGGGGGTTGTATATTTTTCTTTTTATTCTCTCTCCTGATTAAATAAAGTACCTCAATTCTGTTATGGAGAGGTCAGTCCTAGAGCTGACAGGTTAGTTCAATTCAACCTTGGCTTGTACACTGCCAACGAAAGGAAACTAGTTAGTAGAAATAGCTTTGGTGATGCTGGTAGTCTTCAATGGATACACAGATACTTTGGGTGTGTCAGTGAAGGCAGAATGTACCCTTTCATTTGGAACTTTGTTTTACAAATCTGTGGCTAAAGCCACTTTTGAACCGTATGTACTGTCCATATGTACTTATATGGCCTCCAGTGAAGTCAATGAGCTATACTTGTTTACATCAGCTGGGGAGCTGGTACTGTTAATCATATGGACAGGACAAATCCTGTGTGAATAGTAGGTGGCTGCATTTTGGTTTATAAATCAGGCTCTTAGTTACTGTGAACATGTTTGTTATATAATTGGCCTGCGTAAATAAAACTCAACCCCTATAGTCTCCAGCCCCAGAGGATTATGGGATAATGAAAAACTAAACTAAACCAATCAACTGAAGACTTGGGGGAGGGAGAAAATGTAGGTTTGGGTTGGGTTTAAAAATAGTTGAGTACTAGTTTATGAGAACACAAACAGACTATGCTCTCTTCAGTGTTTCCATCAGGAAAATGAACTTTGGAACTACTTTAGAAATGGAAAACATGGTATTGACGTTGAAACAACAATAAGCAGCTGTTGCCTCTCTCCTGCACCTGCCTGTTACTCATAGAGAGTAACATCTTAGAAGGGCCGGCTGACAGCTGATAGAAGGTCAAGAAGGAAGGGGGACAAGGGTAACCCTTATGGAAAAGTCCGATGGGGATGAGGGCTATATAAGAAGCAGACAGATCTCATCATAATCTATTACACCTTACACATTAACTCCTTTTCTTAAATTGCATGCCAGCTGTGCTTTAATCTACATCACTCAATAACTTAATAGTACACAGAGCTGGAAAGAGTAAAACTTTGATGGTTATAGTTTACTAGATAATATTGCGCCATAGCTAGTGTGTTCTAATTGATTTTATCACCATGTGACAAATCGTGCACAAACAGGTTCAGGCAGTACATAATAAAGCAAGCAAATGGTCCCAAATGTAGCTGCCATCCCACAGTGTACAAGAAGACTGGCCTTATCCTCAAATATTAGGATGCCCTTGGAACGGTTTTTGGAAGACACAACATAGTTTTTTCTCCAAGTGGCTGAAGTTGCTGGCTGTGGCAGTGCACTAGATCAAGTCCCACAGGGAAATCATTCTGCTTCCTGACATTGGTGTCTTTCTCCAGCTAAAGAAGGGCCAAAACAAGTGGGAAAATGTCAGGAGCATTCAATCTACCGCTTTATTATCTGTCCTTTTTTTCTATTTGCAAAATATAGCAAAGTTAATATACTATATGTAAGGGGTGAGACAATAACTAACTTTTCACTGCTAATGGTACTGATCTGACTGTGTCTCACTAATGTAGAAGTTACCATGCCATTGCCAATCATTGATCTATCAGGTCTACAGCCTCGCTCACCTCACCTCCACAAGCACACTGAGATGGTCAGTGGCATGGCAGAGAGCAGGCTGCTATCCAGAGGGTTTGTTCAGCATGTGCACTCCCTCTGCATGCTGAGGAACTCAATGGGAATTGTGCCTCTCCCACCCAGAGCACACCTGTAACATAGGCTGGGCCTTGGGGGTGCTATCAGGCCCCAGGTTAGCAGGCTGGAGCTCCAATTTCACACTGAGTGACAAATGTGATATGGATCTGCTTGCTGAAAATCTCCACACGTGATCAGCCCTTGTTCTTGACTCCATGCCAGATTCTTTCCCACCCTGGCACAGGAAGTACCAGGTGTACAGATAGCCAGGGGACCGCAGACAGAACACCCACCATGTAGGTTACAGGGAACTCCCCTCGGGATGCTTACTGCCCTCCCCCAAGGCACAGAAAAAATAACCTATGCTCCAAAGCATGCACCAGTAGGCAAGCCAGAGGGTTTAGACTCCTGTGTGATGCTGGCCTTTACCAGGCAGCAGAATTCCATGATAGTCAGCAAATCTTTGAATTCATTGGTTCGCTTCACATCATCTCTGCAGGGTTTTTGTCCATGTAGCTTTCTCCTTTGCTGTTGTTATCAACACATAAGGCACTATCTCCTGCACCTCACATGTTCCTTGGCTCACCTCTCTCATCTTGCCTTCAGTTTCTACTTTTACTTTTTCACAATACCATAGAGCCAGGAAGCACTCCCAGTATTAACATATCTGAATCTTATTACTGGAGTCCCTTTCCCTGTCTCCTCTCTGGGGCTATAATGATGTTATGCCTCTCTAGCATGCAATTGGCACTTTCTTCCCTCCCGCCTCTCTCATCACTTGAGGTCAATAGATGCAATACTAGGTGGTTTAAGGGAGTGGCACATTCACCCTGCGCTGGTTTTTATTCTCTCCAGAAACTGCTGCAAGAGAAAGTTCTGCCTCTCTTTATGGACCAAAGCCTGCAGTCATTACGTAAACAAAATTCCCAGTGAATTCCTTGTCTGAGTAAGGGCTGCAGAGATTGATCTATTCTATTCTATACCACTACTATCCCCTTGGTATCTGAGCACCTTCCAGTAGTGCATTGAATGAGGTAACTAACATCTGCCACAGATAGGACAGTAGTTAATTCTTTTGGTCCCGGACTTGAAAAATGGCAGAAAAATTGTCCTGTGACCCATCATATTCTAGAACCCCTTGAGGGTGCAAAGGAGTGTGTGATTTGATAGAACAGTATAACCCACCAAAATCAGGAGGAAAACATCACTTTTAGGTTTGCTATCCCTCTTCTCTCCCTCAGCTGGAGCCCGTTGGTCAAAAGCAGAGCTACAATAACTTCTCCCATGACAGATTCAAACTCAAGTGTCCAACCTCAGTAAGTAAACACCACACTATAGCCTCACCCATGTGGCCCTTTTGTTTTCCCTTTCCTTCTTGCCAGCAATATAATTCAAGCATATTAAAGATTGCATTTTGCAGGGGGAGGGGTTTAAATAGCACAAAAACATCTCTGGTTTTCTGACAAAAACAGGTTTTCAGGAAGGTCTGCTCATTGGGATTTAGTGAAAAACTGCATCATTGCCCCAGTGAGAACCTCTCATTTCAACCAGTTTTATTTTTTGCATTTGGTTATCTACAATAAATGGGTTCAGAAGCAATGCCAAAGCTGCAGTGATCTGAAATGTATAAAAAGCAACACTTGGGGGCGGGGGGAATATAAATCTGTTCAGGGAGGGTAGCTTTCACAACAGACAGAATGTAGAAATGGTCAATTTTTATTGCTAAAGAAATAAGGACTGTCCCGTCTCAATAGGGGATGGGTGACATATAGACTGAATGCTGCTCAGAAGTGTTTTGTGGCCAGTAAAATCCTCTCTCCTTCCTTTGTAGGAGAATCCATTTCTTTTCACATCCAGAAACAGTGGATTGCAAAATACAGCTCCAGTACTGGGAGCAGGTGACCCATCGGTACCTTACTGGGCTGTGATTTTGGCAGCAGTAGGTGGAGTTCTGGCGGGTTCTGTACTCATTGGGGTTTTGATGTCAAGAAGACTCAAGAAACACCAGCCTGGGAGAAAGAAAGCAACAGAAGTGAATTTAACAGCTCTGTAAACCAGATGTATATAGAGAACTTACATCTTCCTCCACTGGGACTGAGGTGATGGGGAGAACAGGGGGAAGAGCAGCTTTTGAGATCTAACTTTTTTTTTTTTAAGCTAATCAAACTTGCCAATTTAAAAATGGAGGTACAGGTATTGGCCAATGATTCTCTACCCAGTCACCATGATGACAGAGGACAGTACAAGGTTTGCTTTACCTGGCAGTGTCTGCTGCACATTGGCCATGTCTAGGAAGGAAACAAACATTTCTTAATGCATGAAGTCTTCTTCCTTCGAGATGCACTAATTCTCTGTATGACTGAAATTGCTTGGGATGCCAGTTCCCTGCATGGAGTGAGAAAACTATTCATGTATGCTTTAGCCTTATGAAGTTCATGCTCCCCACCTGTTTTGTGAGGGACACTGGGTTGAATATAATGGTTGGGCATCATTGTTAGGGACTGTTAACCATTCCCCCCAGTAGGGTAATACATTCAAAAAGAAAGGCAGCAACATCTTTCGTTGGAGTCAAGTGAGACCCCTGTGTTAATACAATAAGACTCGGTGTTAAGAAAAAGGAAGCTTTATTCAATCATTTTAACCTGGCTAAAGGTCCAAATAGAACTGACTAAACCTTTCTCAAAGGACCTGTTTCAACATGCGCAAACCCCAACCCGGAATCTTTGCAGTCTGTTCTTTATTGAAGTTGTCCGGAGATTCAGATCAGGAACATGGAGGAGATCTTCGGTGGACATTACAAAGATCACCTGTTTCACTGTCTTGTACTTTTCTGACATAAGGGAGATGACTGAGACAGACTGTCTGGGACCTTGTTTTCTGACATCCCTGTAATTTCCTGTTATCTGTTTTAATTAAGAAATTCTAATTTTATGGAAGCCAAAGAGCACTTTAATTTGCTGTGTTTTTGCAAGGGATGTATTGTTCCCATGCTAGGAATCATGAATACTGGGGGTGAGGTGTAACTGGAATGGTTCCCAGTGCAAAAGCTGTGCAGCTTGGACACTCAGTCTGTTCATCATTCACCCAAAAGATACTTTTCCAGACACACACAGATGCCCTGATTTTCCCATCTCATCCCTGTGTGATCTTTGCAGGGATGGAGATAGGACATGAAACACACTGGGATAATCAGGTTTGCAGAATCACAGCTCCACTAACGCCTTCTTTTAGTCTGCTCTCAAAGCTCCTTATTGTGAATAAGATTTGTGTGTTTGTGAGTCTCCTTCCTAGGAATTTCATCTTCTTTGACAACCGTTTATGCAGCTTCGCAGCAGGAAGCATCAAGGAATTTGAGATATAGACTAGAAGTAGTTGTGCCTCACTTGCACGAAACACAGAAACATTGTAAGTGATCAACCAGTGCTATGCAACATCACCCCTACCCTCTTGCTTGGTCACCAGTAGTCTGTCGAGTCCATTATCAGGGCTAGATCAGGGAACAAAATGGGGCCCTTAGTTTCTCTTTGGTGGAAATACTTCTTGCAGATTTCCCGTGTGGACTGAAGTAAATGAAGAGCTCTACTGACAGTTAAAAAACCCCAACGCTCATACAGTTTGCAGCTGTTTCGTGTGCAAAACTGTTTCATTGCAAATATGAACGCAGAACATTCTCTCTGTCCTTGTTAAGCGGAGGTAACAGTCAGCTGCAATGAATGACAAATTGTTCATGTTTGGCTCTTAGTCTGACTGCACTTAAGGCAGGGGTGGGCAAACTTTTTGGCCCAAGGGCCACATTGGGGAATAGAAATTGTATGGTGGGTCATGAATGCTCACAAAATTGGGGTTGGGGTGCGGGAGGGGGTGAGGGCTCTGTTTGGGGTGCAGGCTCTGGGGTGGGGCTGGAGATGAGGAGTTTGGGGTGTAGGGGGGTGCTCTGGGCTGGGACCAAGGGGATCAGAGGGCTGGAGGGGGATCAGGGCTGGGGCAGGGAGTTGGAGAGAGGCTCAGGGGTGCAGGAATCGAGCGGTGCTTACCTCAAGTGGCTCCCGGAAGCAATGGCATGTCCCCTCTCCAGCTCCTACATGGAGGCGCGGCCAAGTGGCTCTGCACGCCTCCCCGTCCGCAGGCACCATCCCTGCAGCTCCCACTGGAGCACTGGAGGAGGCCATTGGAGCATGTAGGAGCCAGAGCAGGGCCATGCCGCGGCTTCCAGGAACTGTGTGGTGCAGCCCTGACCCTGCACCCCTACTGGAGCACCAGAGCGGGGCCGAGCCGCATGGTGTGGCCCCCAACCCAGCATCCTTGCTGGAGTGGGGCCGAACCGCGTGGTCTGGCCCCTGACCCAGCGCTCTGGCTGGAGCGCTGGAGCAGGGCCAAGCCGGCCCGAGCACTGGAGAGGGGCTGAGCTGCATGGTATGGCTCCCGACCTTGTTCCCCAGTGAGAGCTCATGGGCTGGCTTAAAACACTGGCCTGCGGGCCGTAGTTTACCCTCAGTGACTTAGGGTATAATCTCTGCTTGTGACATTTCTCCATTTACCACATCTCCTTCATTTTTCCTTTAATAATGGTCCATGTGTTTAGATTACCCTTTAGCATTTTACCTCATTGGATCAGCTAAGTAGACAGACTGGCCTAGTGAAGCAAAGTAGGATGAGAGACTTTGGACGGACATCTGAGTTTCTAAACGGACCCACCAGAAATGAATGAAATTTTAGTTAATTCTGACCCATCAAACCACTGAAATGTATTTCCTCATTTACAGTGCATTTTGAATTGTAATCTTATGAAGGACAAATTTTACAGATTCATTCCCTTTGGAGGGCCCTTAACGTCCCGGTGCTGACTGCTTGTGCGTAGTAAAGATCCCAGGACGCTTTTTAGGGGCATGAACTTTGCTGTCTACATCAAATTCCAGTGTGGGTAATTATTATTTTCTGCTAATTTAAATTGTCTGTGCAGTTCAATTGGATATAGTATTTGTCATTTCCTGTCCTGAACTTTTGTGTAGGGTTGTTGAGTGCTGTTGACTTCTAGGATGCTGGCTCGCCTTGAGGAGTAGTCCCATCTCCAAAATGGAGATAATACTATTTATAAAGAAAAGTTGTGAGGCCTAATTAATATTTATAACATAGCTATGGGTAATCAATGGCAGAGGTGGGAATGGAACTTAGGGATTCTAGACTCTGAGGTCTGTCTGTTCTGCTATAATAGCCGACATTTTGCTATATATGATCAGATGGTTCACTGGAGTAACATTAGGGATAAATTTGGCCCAGAGTCCAAAGCAGGTGCTCATTTAAGTTGGGCAAAACACAAAAGGAAGGGAGAAGATTTAAAATAGCTGAATTTATAAGGGCACCGGGGATTGGTAGTGGATGTGGCCCTCTCACTTCCAGATCACTGGATCCGTGTAGATAGTGACTAAAAGTTACCACCTTCTAATGGCTGATAAATGGCCTACGTGAAATGTATAAAGGGTTGTGAGAAGCACATTGTTTTAGACTGGGAAATCTGAGAGGGTTTTGTGCAACTTTTGGGGAAAAGTTTGGCCAGAGGCCTGAGGTGAAACAGGACTCCTTTGGAGATAGGGAGCTTGGGAATCACATCATTCAGACATGGATGATATGTAGATTTTCACAGCTGTGTAATCAGGATTTAAAAGCCTTTGTAGGATAGCACATTTTCAGCAGTTGCTCGTTTTCAGCCTTTCCTGCATTGAGTCTGTTCCTGCCTACGCTCATAGAAGCCAAAGCGAGTTTTGGGTTTTAGCAGCAGCCGAGCCTGGATGAAACCCTTTCCAGAGGGTGATTCGTAGGTTACCTAAGGGAAATAGTGAGTTCTTGGGACAAGGTGATAAAAGTACAAGCACCATCCCACATTAAAACCACTCCTGTCACAAGTATGAATTGTGATGATCCAAAGAACTGAGAGGAGCTTCAAAGGGCTGCAAAAGATGAGGCTGTGTCAGCCCTGCACGTGAAAGGAAGGTGCACAGCAATGTCAGCAACTAAGCCTTCATCACCGCTTAATTTTCATGGGTACCAGATGTCATGCCATCTTTTCTCTGTGTAATGCATATCTTGATTCACTAGGCATCTGACACACTTTTTCCTCTAGTGCTTTTTATTTGAGGATCTCACAGCACTTTATAAATGTTAACAATACACTGATGCACAAACTATATATAGGGACTGCTGAAATGATCGTACATCATTGAAATGCAGCTATCTTGGCACTAGAATATGGCAGCTGTTTAACATCTCACAGACAAAAGACACCACAGTGCAGGATAAGAAGCAAAGGAAAAATCTATCTACCTGAAACTTCAGGGGGATTTTAAATCAGCAGAATTTTAGCCCTAGTTCCCCCTGAATCCACCAAGAGGCACAACGGAGACCCTAAAACAGGGTGGGAGGGGAAAATCGGGAATGAGCAAGAGGGCAAACAGCCATCAGCAAGGATCAAACCCACCATAAGCCCCTAACACTTGAGCAAAAAGAGTAACTATTAGGTGTGAACAATGAGCTGGCTTTCTCTTTCCTGGAACCAGCCACTAGAGGAAGAAATGCTCACACACTGAGCCGCTGAATTCGATATGGACACACCTAGATGGATTACATGGCCATGGCCAAGTTCTGAGGCAAACGAGGCAAGTGTCTATTTGGGGCTTTGCACTTGGAGGTGTAGTGGGCCAGAGCAAATACTGCAGCAATTCACGGTTCAGCACTCTGTTTGCCTCCCAACCTGCTGCTGGAGAGGGAGAAACTGCCACCAGACTCCCTCCCACATGGAGATAAGAGACCCCACTTGTTTGAGGGTCCTATGGTAGCTTGAAGACCTGGAACGCTCAAGGTTGGCCCTGTACATGGTCTCCTTAATCCTACTCAAAATGTTACCAAACACATTAAGCCGATTTTACCTCCTCCCTCTTGTCCCCAGGAGAGCAGCTGCCATGTCCTTCCAGGTGGAAGGCACGGGATTAGCATGATTGGGCCAAAGGCTTAAAAG